AAAACAGAAGTATCTGTGTGGTACGGAAGACGAGAGTGACGCAGGGCACCTTCTTCAAGGAGGCTGGGTCTCCTTGATCCCTATTCTCATCCCAGGTCCATGGTGAGGCCATGTGGAGGATTATCTTCACACTAATGGGGTGGCTGGTATCCAGAATGTCAGAGTTCATTGTGAGGTCAGATTTCCCAGCCTTGGCAATGGGGGCTTTGGGGGAACAATGAATCAGGGGTGTTTAGTGCAGAACCACCCCCCTACCCCAGCAATCCTTGTGTTCCCTTACTTCTTTCCCAAGCCTGTTCCTCTGTCTGCTTATGATTCATCACTTGGCCCACACACATGCTTATTCATGTACCTATTCACATCTTGATTCACTCCCTTCCTGCTCATTCATCCCACAGACATTTACTACAGCCCACTCTCTGTGGGAATCCAAAATCTAGGGCTTCTGATTCCCTAAAGAGGACTCTGCTCTTTCTCCTAAGGAGGGGCTCCCGTAGGTGACTCAAGGAGTACATATGCAAGCATTTCAAAACTGGCTTTAAATACTCGTCAGGGTACCATGGGAAGGGGCTGGGGTGAGAGCTTGTTACATGTGTGTGGAGCTGGGGTGCCCTGAGAGAGGGGGACCCATCAGAGCAGCTGGGGTGCCCCACCCCTTCCCTGGGACAAGGGCTCAGAGAGAGAGTAGAGGCCCTCTCTGGAGGGTCCCAGGGCCAAGTGGGAGCCAGCCCTCCCTTCGAGGTAGATCATCGGGGAGGGAACCGAGTAGGAGCTCCCAAGGTGGTGGTGATAGGCGGTCACTTCCTCAGTGGTACTGCTGATAGTTGGGATAGGCTGGGGTACCCTCCTTAGGGGGCAGCTGGCTGGGGTCCTCCAGGAACGGGGGTGCTGGAGAGGGAAGAATCAGGTAAAGGTGAGCAGAGGAGGCTAGGCAGAGCATCTCCCACTTCTCCCTAACCAGCTTCACCAGGTACTCACCATTGCGGAACTGCTGGGCGGTGTAGCGAGTGAGGAGGATGCCAACACCCTCGATGAGGGCCAACAGGATGCCCCCCATCATTGCTGAGCCCACCATGGCCAATGGACCACCTGGAGAAGCGAGAAGGCAGGGAGAGAGAGATGAGGGCCAGCAGAACAGGGTGGAAGAAGCTGGGGCCAGGGTTGAGGGCACTCACTGCGGGCAGCCAGCACAGCCCCGGTCAGTGCTCCACTGGTGATGGAGTTCCAGGGATCTTCCTTGCCTCGCAATCGCACCAGGCCACAATCGATGGTGGAGAACAGGCCCCCCCACACCGCAAAGCTACCTGCAGCAGGACAGAGGCCTAATTAGTGTTCCAGGGAAATCCTAAGAATCCACAGCTCAGAGACTGGGGACTTCCAAGGCCTGAATGCTCTGGCAAAGACAGGAGAAAAACCCAGATGCAAAGAGAGATAGCGAACTCCTAGGGGATATTCCCCATATCTGTCCCCATGGCAACTCCTTCAGGCTGTCTCTAATCACCATGGACACTCCTTTCTCCTTCATAGGGAGGTGACAAGTGTTTACAAGCACATTTACCTTCTATATGGCTTTTAACAGAGCAACTTTGATCTTCATAACCACCACACAGAGTTAGAATTTTGATCTTGGTTTCAGTGAGAAGGAAACAGGTTAGGAAAGCCAGTTAACAATGTGATAAGTTAAAATATTTACTAAGGCCTTATTGTATGCCAGGACCTGATCTAGGGACTGAGAGTTATTTGACTTCTGAAATTTTAAATTAGTTAGTATTATTAAAGTGCTTAGCAGAGCAACTGACACTTAGTGTTATGTAAATTATATAAATTACAAAATGACTAGGGTGTTTACTGCTATTGACATCCCTGTGTTACAGATGAGATTCAGAAAAGTTAAGTCATTAGCCCAAAGTCACACATCTGAGAAGAGCCAGGGTCTGGACTTAAACTCCAGAACCCACTCATATTAAATTGTTGAGAAATGTCACTCTCCCAGGAAGTCCCAGGCAGAGTTGTGACTCAAATCTGGACCCCCCCATCTTGCAGTCTAGACTCATAGAAGCAAACACCACCAACTATGCCATCACATCTCCTGTCTCCCCAAGCCTCTCACCTCCAATCTGGGGGGCTCGGATCCTCACAGCGTTGACACTACCTCTCAATCGGTGCCGAATTCCCTGGGAGAAGTGAGGAGGAGGGGAGTCAGAGCAGGGCTGAGACCACTGGCAGACAGGATTTTCAGCTTTGCAGAGAGGGAAGGGGGTGCGAGTCCTGTTAGGGATATCAGGGGTAGAGATGTGGAGAAGTGGCCAAGAACTAGGAGGCTGGAGAGTACACCAGCATAGGTGTTCCCAGAGCTGGGTTGAGAAGTTCTCATTCATTCAATGATTACTGAGCATCTATGTGCCTAGCACCATGCTGTATGCTGGGATACAGCAGTTAACGATGTAGACCTGGCCCCTGCCCTCTTAGAGATAGATGCTGAGCAAGGGTACAGGTAAACAAGACAACTTTAGAAAGCAGTACACACCCTAGAGGAAATAGGATGAAGAGAAATGATAGCAGCTGAAGGGTAAAGAAAGACCTCTTTAAGGAGGGGGCATTTGTGCTGAGACCTTGAGGATGAGAAAGAGAAATATGGGCAAAGATCCAGGGCTAGATATAGAAATTGCAGAGACCCTGGCAAATGGATGGCATTCAAAGTATGACATTTGATGAGATCTCTCAGAAAGAGGTGTCAGAGAAAGAGACAGAATTGATTATGTTAAATTAAAAGCATTTTCTTAACTTTAAGGCTATCCTTCCTCTGCCAGTTAAGCTACCACTTCCCCTGTCCAAGTTTCTGACCCAGAATCTGCCTCTAGGTAAAATCTGTCTGGCTTTGCATACACATGTAGGATTTGGTGGTGTGGATGAAAAAGGGGCTCTGTAATAAAATCTAACAGAAAGTAACCTCACAGGATGAGCTGAGAGATCATAAATTCCTCACTGGGCAGGTCATGGTGGGTAGTCACACCTCAAGCCTGTAACTTCCCTAATAAAAGGTTATCTGCCTTAAGAGAGCCCTGTCCATTGTTTCTGTGCATCTAGGTTAACACACCTTTTAAATACCTACTTTTCTGACCCCCTAGTAAGCACAGCCACCCATAAGAGAACACATAATCTTGTTAACTATCCTGTAATTCTATCTAATCACAGAGATTTCCCAGCCTTTCTTTCTCCCAGAGTTCACGTAATCGTCTTTATGTTCCCTCCTTAATTCCAAATATATAAAACTGCAAATTCTCACTCTGGAAAGCATTTTTTCTCAGTCTGTTGAGATCTTGCTTCCAGGTGTGTCCTCTGTTTGGCTCAAAAAAAACTCTAATAAACTCATAAAAATTTTCTACACATTTACTGTTCTTATGTCAACAGTGATGAACTTTTTCACAGCACAGCATTTCTTTTTTTTTTTCTTTTTTTAGGCGAGGCAACCCTTGGTTGACTTCACAGATTGCAAGGACCTTGTCAGCTTACAATCCCTTATTTTTTATTTTTATTTTTTACGCCTACAGCACCTGATCTTCCTAGGTGGTCTACCATCCAAGTACTAACCAGGCCTGACCCTACTTAGCTTCCGAGATCAGACAGGATCGGGCTTATTATTCAGGGTGGCATGGCCATAGACAGCACAGCATTTCTACAAAGGCGCTCCAGTTCGGTGTGGGGTGAGGGACAGAGGCCATGTTTGCAGTTCTCCAAAACACGGGATCCTGGAGCCAGGCCTGGACATAGCAAGCAAGCAGGCACCAGAATGATTAAGTGTGCGTGACTGGCAGCTCTAAGCAGTTTTCAGAGCAGTATCCTGTGCTCTCATGACCCCCGAACCACCCAGGGAAGGCCAGGACTCACGACAGGGGCGTTTCGGAAGCCCTTGATGGCCTGGAAGACTCCGCCACCGATGACACCCATAGTGAAGGCTCCACCGCAATCATCGACAATTCGCCATGGGCTGCAAGTGTGAAGGGGAGGATGGGGTAAATGTGAGCCCTCCTCCTATTCAATGTCACCTCGACACCTTCAACTAGAAGGAACCGTCAACCGAATGGAACCGAATGGGAAGTAGCACTTTAAATAACGAGATTATTTCCCCTTCATTTAAGCAAGAAATAGTGCAAGGAAGGAAAAATATTAGTCTTTGCCCTCTCCGCCCGCCCACCCCCCTTTGCAGTCAACCACGGAATTAGCCAACCACTTTACTATCAAAGATTAAATGAATTGATACACACAGAGTTGACGTTTAAATAATCCCTAACTGTTAACTAGCTAGTATTGTTATTAAAGGAGGATGGGTCGCACCCCCCTTCTCCGACAATGAGCACATCCAAGCAAGCTCCGTCCCCTCCCCATGCACAACTGGGAAAAACCAAGGGCAGACTGTGGGGAGGATCCAGGCTCCGCCCCCATTCACTAAAGCGACCTAGGGAAAAAACCAGGCGTAGTGGCCCTGGAGATTTCCGCTCAACACTTCGCCACCCCCCGGCGGGAATGGACTCGACCAACGTGTCTCTTTTGGTTAACAAATAGGGGCTGGGAAATACGTAGTCAGGGGAAACATGGAGTGGTTCTCCAGGCACACGGTTGTGGCCCCTCTTAACGGTTCCGAATGGGAGGAGCCAAGTGGAGGGTAGCGGAAGGAGACAACTAAGAGTCTCCTGTTCCTGGGCGCTGGCGCTCTGGGGCCGGTACCGCTCCCGCCCGCCTCCCACAGCTGGCCGAGGTGCCACAGCAACAGTCCCGAGGCCTGTGCCCATCGCCGTACCAGGGCTCCCGAGCGTACTCCTCCATGGCGCCGGCGTCCGGCCGCGCAGTCTGCCTAAGCCAAGGCTAGGCCACGCCCCCACTGTAAACGTATACTGGCGCCTGAGCTTTCCACCTATCCCAGTACCGCAGCTGGGTTGCTGCAACGTAAGTCTGGCCAACGGCGCACTCTCATTGGTTACCCAGGTTGCGTCATCTGTTCCCCGCAGCCTGACCGTCGCCTAGTTCGTTTCGGGGAGAGAAGATTATTCTGTGCTTTGCAAGAAGAGAGACGTGTGGTTCTGGTGATCCTAACGGCGAGGACCGCGAGGCGGCCTGGTTAACAGCCTTCCACTACTCGCGTGACTGTATTGGTAATGTCAGAGAGCACGCATTTTTTGGAGCTGGAAGAGGTGCTCCACTCTGCACCCCTATCCCAGCGCTTTGGTTCTTCCTACCCGGCAGTCTTTGGGGGATGTTGGGTGAGCCCATTTCTGGGGCGCGGGGAGCCGCGTTCGGCCCCTACGGCTGTGGGCGGAGCCTGAGCCTGGGAGAGGAACTGCGTTCTGGAGCGCGGCGCCTGAAGAGGAGGGTTGGTGAGGGGTTTAGTTATATTGTCACCTATCTCTTCCACCTTTTAGCGTTGCTTCTAGCTGCCCAACTACTGGTGTAGGTGGGGGGGGGGTCCACATAAGTACATGCTGGGAGGAGGCGCTTGATTACAGAATCCAGATTCGAATTTTAATCTGAGCTGGTTTTTAGTCTGTCCATCCGCCCCTAGGTCTGTCTGCTACTCGGTATGCCGCTGCCCGTTGCGCTTCAGACTCGCTTGGCCAAGAGAGGCATCCTCAAACATCTGGAGCCCGGTGAGAGCTAAGAGCAGATGGGCCTACCACATGCCAGGCTTGACAGGCACTTTGTTGTTGATACTGCCACTTGATGCCTAGCTGGGCCTACTGTGCACCAGGCAGTGGGGTGGCAGGTATTTCACTGTTAACAATGTGGATTCCTGACACCCATTCCTACTGGGTGCCAAGCATGGGGTAGTGGGGTGGAGGAATTTGGGGGTTAAACATTTCATCCTTAATCTCGACAGCTGATATTTATTTGGGCCTACTGTATGCCAGGTTCAATCCATCCATCAATCCATGGATGTGATTACAGCATGTCAAATAGCTGTCATCTACTGCCGTTTCTTGTGTGCCAAGGACAGTGGCCGGATACTGATATTTTGTTCTTTACCATACTGATAACATTTTTCAGACTACTGTGGTGCCAGGCACTATGCTGGTGAGATATGTTATTGTTCACCATATCAATTGGTGACATGTATTTTGGGTTTACTAAGAGCCTGGCATAAACATTATGGTTAGCAGTATAAAATGATAGGATCTATCATTTAGGCCTGCTCTGCTGCCACTGCTATTTACACCTCATTGTCAATAACAGTAAAAGCTAGCATCTAATTGGGGCTACAGTGTGCTAGGCACTGGAAAATACATCTTATTTTGACCTTATTGATAAGTGACATTTATTACAAGGCTAATGTGTGCTGGGCATAGATCTTGTGGTTAATAGTACTGATAATGATTATTGATATTTATTTTAAGCCTGTTGGATGCCAGGCTTAAAATAACAATACTGATGATTATTGACATCTCTTTTGGGCCTGCATTGTGACAGGCACTATGCTGTTGCTAACATATACATTTCATTGTCAGTAATATCCTGAAATCTGCTAGGCCTACTGAGGGCCAGGTACTGAGTTGACACCATACACCTTTTTTTATTATACTGATATTAACTGACAACTGCATGTGTCAAGCCTCAGGAACTAAATGGATTCAGAGCAGTGTTTGGATAAATCCTTTGCTATCCAAATTCTTGCTACTCAAAATATAGGAGTCAGAAACCCCATGTTTGCTGAGCTTGGGAGCTTTTGGACATATTTTCAGATAAACCCTTTGCTTGTTCAAACTCATTTTATCTAAATAGATTTGGATAGTGTGCTTTTACATACTCCCTGAACTCGGGAACTGAATGAATATGGATACATGTTTTGATGAATCCCTATCTAAATTCTGAAACCAGATAGGCTTGGGTAACAGTATATCTTATCTGAACCCAGGAACAGGACAGATTTGGGTACATGTTTTGGTAAGTCCACTATTCAGATGCGTGGACTTGGAATGTTAGCATTGTGTCCCATGGCTGGTGAGACCTGGCACACACACTTGTCCATGTGAATATGAGTGTCTCTGCAGGCCTGGACTGTAGGATGAGAATCTCCCTGATCCTTACTGTTCCCCTCCTTCCCATCTGTCCTGGCAGAGCCAGAGGAAGAGATCATTGCTGAGGACTATGACGATGATCCTGTGGATTATGAGGCCACCCGGATGGAGGGCCTGCCACCAAGCTGGTACAAGGTCTTCGACCCTTCCTGGTGAGCCTGGGGACCTAGGGGGGAGGGGAAGCTGACTTCCGACTTCACCCTTCCGGTGCTGTTCCTGGCCTTGGGGTAAGTGGGGGACACAGGGGAAGAGATCTGGCGGGGCCTGATATGGGTAGGTATAGTCAGAGATTGGGGAGCAGGAGTTAAGGTTACAAGGAGAGGATATCTGTGCTGACGTTCCTTCCCTCCTTCCCACTGCCCAGCAGCGGGCTTCCTTATTACTGGAATGTGGACACAGACCTCGTGTCCTGGCTCTCCCCACATGACCCCAACTCCGTCGTTACCAAATCTTCCAAGAAGCTCAGGAGCAATAATACAGGTGAGTTGGCAGGTCCAACAGTGCCTCGAGTGCTTCTAGCAGTTCTCATAGATGGCTCTATAGATGATAGTGGATCCAGAGGGGCAGGTGAGACAGGAAAGCCTAGCCCTAGCCCCAGGCAAAAGAGGCTGTCAAAAGCAGAAGCTACTGGGCCCTGAGGTAAAAGGAGAAAGGCTTTTGTGTCCCCAGATGCTGAGGAGAAGTTGGACCGGAGCCATGAGAAATTGGAACGGAGCCATGAGAAGTTGGACAGGAGCCATGAGAAGTTGGACCGGGGTCACGAGAAGTCAGACCGGGGCCATGAGAAGTCTGACAGAGACCGAGAGCGTGGCTATGACAAGGTGGACAGAGAGAGAGAGCGGGACAGGGATCGAGACCGGGACCGCGGGTATGACAAGGCGGACCGGGAGGAGGGAAAAGAACGGCGCCACCATCGCCGGGAGGAGCTGTCTCCCTACCCCAAGAGCAAGAAGGGTAAGTTGAGCAGGGCAAGACTGCGGTGAGGCAGCAAGGCACCAGGGAGTGCATGGTGTACAGAAGCCCTCACATCTTTTCATGCAAGTGCCTGAACCTTGGGCCTGGCAGAAGGTACTGCAGCCATGGCAGCCATGGGCTCCATTTCTTCCCGGGATGGGGTAAGCTCAGTGATCAGGGGATTCTTGTGCCTACATTGAAGACCTCGCTCTCCTACCTCCTTCCACAGTTGCAAGCCGGAAGGATGAAGAGTTAGACCCTATGGACCCCAGCTCATACTCAGATGCACCCCGGTAGGTAACACCCACTCACGAAAGCTTTTCTCTTTCCTTGACTCACTGTACCAGTGACTATTTCTTTTTTTCTCACTATCTCCTTCTCCCACTTGTCAGTTGTTTGCTGGGAGGGAGGGGTGGGTACCTACCACATTCCACATTCCTGTACTCTCTGTCACCCCCAGGGGCACATGGTCAACAGGACTCCCCAAGCGGAATGAGGCCAAGACGGGTGCAGACACGACAGCTGCCGGGCCCCTCTTCCAGCAGCGCCCCTACCCATCCCCAGGGGCTGTACTCCGGGCCAATGCCGAGGCCTCCCGAACTAAGCAACAGGACTGAACCCTTAATAAAAGCTTTTCAGTGGATCATATCCACGAGGCCAGAGTGCTTCCTTCTCTCACACTTTTGAGGCTTTTTCAACCCAAGAAGGCAAGTTGTAAAACACATTTTATTTGTAAAAACTCACCTAAGAAATACTGTGGGGGCAGCAGGGGCTGGAGGCTGAGGTGGGTCTTGTCTAGGCCCCCCTGACCAGAGAGTTTAGTTGTGTCAGCCCTGCGTATGTGGAGGGTGGTAGAGAGAGGGGCATTGGTGTCTGCCTCCCCCTACCCCTAATACTGATTAGAGCGTTTGGTCCTGGCTGGGCCAGGGTAAGAAGGGAGAACGAGACCAGGCCAGCATCTTCAATCCCAGCAGCTACGAACCCTTCACCTTGGTGAGCAACCTGTGGTGGGAATGGGGAGGAAAGAAAAACACAGAAAGCTGGGATGGGCTGGCAGGTGGCTGTCCTGAGCAAGCAAAGGCAATAGTGAGAGGCTGGTAGTCCTGGGGTTAGTAACAGAGCCCACGCAGAGAGAGCGGATCCCCTAGGTCAGAAAGCTACACGTGGACTAAATAAATACAACATCTTTATTTGGCATTAGGTATCCTGACATTTGTTCATTACAGTTCCTTAGAAAACAAACCAAAAAACCAGAACAAATTAATCAAAAATAAAGATCCAACGGCCCTATTTACACATGGCAAAGACAGCCCAGGCATCTCCCATGCACACGTGCGCGCGCGCGCACACACACACTCAGGAGACAGTTAAAGGGTTAATAAGCTTTGGGGAGTGCAGGGGGCAGGTTCCATATTTCAGCAACTTTAAGACACCCCCCCGCTCATGAAGTAAGGGTGCCTCATTTAGCCAGTGGGATAGCATGAATGTGGTTGGCAGCTTTATTTTTCCTCTCAGGATATCTCAGAAAATAACCCTGTATCTGGCAACTGACATTGTTTTAGATTTAATGAGATTCGGCCACTTCAGTGACCTCCCTCTCCCTGCTTTTCCTACACCCTGGATCATTAATTATCTGATTACACAAATCCCTAAACCACTAAAAACCAAATAGTCCCTGCTTCTGGAACAGGCTGATGCAAAAATCTCAGCTCTCTCGCCCCTTGCGCTCTCTCTGGGTGCTCACAAGAGGCCCATTTTCAAAGGTCTCAGCATCAGAGAAGCTGCCTGAGGGCCACGAAAACACTGAGCTGCTAACGTGATCCAGTGTGGTTGTAAGGGAAGAGAGAAGGCCTTGAGCTATGGGAAACAGAACCTCACAGGTGGGCATCAGTCATTGCTAAAGAGCTATAGGATTTTTGTCCAATTTGTCCTTACAAAGGTGGAGGGATTGCTGGGAGGTACTCTCCCAAGCATGAGAAACAGGACACCTGGCTGAGGGGGTGCAAGACAGAAATGCCTTGAATGACAATACCCCTAACCTGGTCCTCAAAGGGGTTAGAGGAAGTGGCTCTAAAAACCCCTCCAAGGGAGGTGGTGTCGGCCTACAAGGAAGGGTTCCTGTGATGCCCACCCAGCCCCATGACCCTCCGGAAGTCTCAATGACCTGGAAGAAAACTTCCTACCCAGAGGAACCAGGCCCCAGTGGCAACTTGGGTCCTGCAGATGCCCAACACCCTCCACCCAGTTCCCCACCCTGTCTCCCCCCACCACTGCCAGCCCTCACTTCACCAGCACTGACTTTGGCAGAAAGGGCTGTGTGCTGAGGTCTCCACGGTGGGAAGACAGCTGTGGTGGTGGCGGCTGCCCCGGAGGCTGCTGGTGAGTGCAGGGCCCGGAGGCAGAGGCAGAGGTGGAAGCGGAAGCTATGGCTTTGGCTGCACCTCGGGGAAGGCTGTAGAGGTAGACGGCACCGATGACCAGCCCAGCACCAAGGGCAAACAATGGGTCCACGTGGAAGCCAAAGAGGCGGATGGAGGCAACAGTGGACAGCACGATGGACAGGGAGGTAGCAAAGCCTTTGAGGATATTGTCGGCATACTTGACAACAACAGCCACGAGTAGCCCACCAAAGGCCTGGTTGAGCACCACACCCCAGACAGCAGGTGTGTATCCGAAAAAGAAGCCGTGGTGGGCCACAGCGGTGCCCTCAGTCCACCAGAGCCCCACCAGGCCCAGTGCCGTGCCAAAGAGGCCCAGCTGCAGGTTGCGCAGCCACACAGAGCCTGAGCTGCCTTTGAGGATCTTCTCAAAGTAGACACCTGCGAAGCCTGAAGAGAGACAGGAGGCCACGACAGCTGCTAGGCCCACCCCAGGGTTCTGATCCAGTGGCCGTGGGCCTCCACCACCAGCTTGCTGTGCCTGGACAATGGCGACGC